CTTTTCAAATTCTTTAGTTCGTAATGATATTTAGCATTTTATCATATATTTTTTTCTGTTCATTATATAAAATCTTATAGTGTTGGTTATTTCTAGAAAGCATTAATAAAATGTCTAGCCGACGTTACATTCTAAGATCTCTGTATCAGTATGTACTTTTATTTGAGGTTTCTTTGTTTTTTTGCTGACTAATTTTCGAGGGAAACTTTGATTGAATAGGCCTTTTACAATATTCATAAAAAGATTTCACTGTCGATTCACATCCTCTCTTTCACTGTTATATACCGGGTGACAATGAAACTACTACCCATGACAGTATTTCTTAAGGGCTCGAGATAGAAATATGTAACTCGGTTTGTTGATAGGGTTGAAAATTGTGAACATTTTAATACAAAAACAATTGAATGTCTTTTCCGATTCAATCGAAAATGGCAGTTTTTACGTAAAATACAAACAAATAGGAATTACGACATATTTTTGAGCTACTCTATTTCAAAAACTATCAACTTCTGACATAGGGTACTTCAGACAAAAGTTATTTAGAATCGTTCAGAGAATCCAAAAAAAAATATAAATACAGGGTGCCCCATTTAAAATAACAAATTCAATGCCATTTCCGGTGAAACCGGAAAAGATATTCAATTGTTTTTATATTAAAATTGTTCACAATTCTCAACCCTATCAACAAACCGAGTTGCATATTTCTATCTCGAGCCGTTAAGAAATGCCGCGGTGGGTAGTAGTTTCATTGTCACCCAGTATATCTAACCAATTTTGTTCTTTTAGGCTACTTACAAAATTTTGTTTATTTTCTATATTAAAACACCTTCTGTATTTTGAAAAGGATTTCGATATTTTGTTTACTTCAAAGACAATCTTTTGTGCAGTGTGATCAGAAATATGATTTTCAAATACCAGGGCGTGCGTATATTCGAAATTTGTGAATATATTATCAATGCAGCTTGCATTCCTGTTCGATATTCGCGTGTTTTCCAAGACAGTTAAATTTACATTAAAAGTTCATAATGGAGAGTAATTCAGTTCTTATTCTATTCTCTTGCAAAAGTTCAATATTAAAATCACCTGCTATGACTAGTAACTTGCTTTCTTTAAATACTTCAATTAACAAAGATTCAGTCTTATCCAAGAAAATGTTAATATCTCCCAATGGAGGTCTATATATGGAAATAAATATTGTCTTTATCTTACCAAAACTACATTCAAAGGCAGAACATTCAAAAACGCCACTTACAGAATTTCTATTAATTTTTGTTCTTTTGGTACCTTTTAGTCCCTTTCTGCAGTATATAGCTGAGCCCCCATGTTTTCCCTCATTTCGACAAAACATTGACACTAAATTAAAGTCCTGAATTTTATGGTTCATTAGTTGTTCTTCTGATTTCCAATGTTCAGACACACATAGTATCTTGCACTCCGGATGATCCTTCAACATATAATTAATTTGTTCCACCAAGTTTCCGATCGATTGCACATTTTGATGAATTACACTTATGGAGTTCTTGGCTTTCTGTGAGCTCTCAGCAACATCCAATGCACTATTTGGTGAATAGGTACTTGCTTTAAGTTTCATAAAAAACAATCGGGCCCTGAGTAGTTGACATGGTTTCGATATTGTGCCAGTTTCTTTTGAAGAACTGGACAACCCGTATCTCTTGCTGAGTGAAGGTATTCTTCTTGTGGGTATTTAATTTTTTTACAGTTTGGACAATTCTATTGTGTTTCAGTACAATCTTTACCAGCGTGTTCCTTACCACATTTATGACAGCATATGTTCTCTTTGCAGTATTTAGCAACATGTCCAAAACAAAAAAATTTGTCTCTAATTCTTTGTTTTTTACATTCAATATTAACATACAAGAACTAGCACGCACTAAGCGGACGGGTTAGTTTGCATATTTTTGGTTAGTTTCGTTATAGTTCATTTAATACTGGTTAGAAGTACTGGTTGCCAATCATATTTTGACCTGCACCCTTTTGTCCGCTCGCTTTTGAGCTGTACTTTTTTGTACAAGCACCAAATTTAAAGTTAACGGTTCCACAGGTCTTCTCTTTGAGATTCAGTGTGCAAAGCGAGCAATCAGAGATTCAGAAATAATTGAAATTTCGAGCTGTTGTATTTAAAAAAGGTTTTTCACATTTTTGGTGGATTTACGTTTCCGAGGCCTATAAGTACATTTATTTTTCAAACAATTTCCCATTCAATGCATTTTCCATTCGAACAATTTTTCTTTCGAACATTTTTCCATTCGAACAATTTTCCTTAAGAACAATTTTACTTTTGAACAGTTTTCCTTTCGAACAATTTTCCGGGACTCTTTCAGATGATATGAAAGGGGGTTGTTTAAATTTCACCACCCTGTATTTTGGAAACGACGCACTTCCGACTGTCCTATCCCCTCAAATTACTTTTCTATGGTTCCTCTATATACATGGTGGAAAATTAAAAAGGGTCCACCTGGATTTTCTCAAAAATTATCGGGAAATTAAAAAAACGCCGAAATACGTCGATTTTGTTTGCAAGGGGGACACTTTTTGACTATTTCAAAATTTTCCTAGATTGCACCCCCTTACCGGGGTGAGTTGCACCTTCAAAAGTTGAATAGGGAAACTGGGTCCAGTGGTACCTTATTTGAGAGGTATTTGAGATGACTTCACAGATCTATCATTTTTTTAGAAATTTGACTTCCAGTTTTCAAGATATTCGTCTCAAAAGTTGCCATGAGGCGAATAGAGAACGTGTTTTTTGTGAAAAAATGAAAAGTAGGTCATGTTTGAAAGGTTGTTCAAAAGGTTCAAAATAACGAAGAAACAAAGGTTCAAAATAAATAAACTTGACGTGTTTCAGGAATCTCAATTTTTTCTTGTAGAAATGTAGGAAAAACACGTTCTTTTTTCGCCCTATCGCAACTTCCGAGGCGAATATCTGAAAAATAGTAGTCAGATTTCGATATAAATTACAGATCTGTAAAGTCATCTCAAATACCTCTCAAACAAGATGCCACTCGACTCGACCCAGTTACCTTATTCAAGTTTTGAGGGTGCAACTCACCCCAGTAAGGAGGTTCAATCTAGGAAAATTTTGAAATATCCAAAAAGTGTCCCCCTTGCAAACAAAATCGATGTGTTTTAGCGTTTTTTCAATTTCCTAATAATTTCCGAGAAAATCCAGGTGAACCCTTTTTAATTTTCCACCCTGTATAGTTCAATTCACTATAGAGTTTGAATTTTGACTGTTATATTCACCAGTTGAAAGTAAATAAAATCCCCGGATCTGTCTCTTTTTCTGTCAACTATCAAATAATGGTGCATCTACATTCACTTAAAAGTCCAATTTATCTTGAAATTGACGCGCTTGGCATTAGTTCACAACCGATCCTCAAAGTACTCAGAGACAGTATAATAAGCCTTTCGCACAAGTAAACGCTTAGTCTCCGCTTTAAATTTAGGAGCATTCTGGATACGTCTTATATCAACAGGAAGATGATTAAAAATTGTCTTGGCATTGTAAATAAATGATTTTCTTATTTGGCTTCTTCTTGGAATTGGCAGAGGGATGTTGTAAGTTTGTCGAGTATCATAGGGACCTTCAACAATAGTATGCTTGTACTTCCTAAAGACCAGGTATACACATCAAATAATTATCTCAAGAAATCGTTGAAATTAAGTGAACTCATGAAACTTTACCAAATCTAATTTTCAATTTCATTGATTTCCATTAAGGTAATGAAAATCAAAAATTAGGTGTACAAAATACTTGGAAGTGTGACACCCCTCGATTCGGCAATTATTCTGCAAACCGAATGCTCGGTGCATCCCTAAATTTTAAAACGAAACAGGCTAAATATCTGATGTCACTTTTCTTCTTTTTAAAATCAATCATATACATAATTTGATTGTGTGAATGTTTGAAACATTTTCAGCACTAGCTCAACCCTCTAGGGGGGGGGGGGGTATGACTCGACCCCTTATTCCATTTGAAGTGGTAAGGGTTGGTCCCACCCCACGTAGACGGTTATAGTTGAAGTGCTGAAAATAGTTGCAGAAAACTTCCCCCTTCAAAAATCAAATTACGTGTACGAGCGATTTTTAAAAAAATAAACGTGGCAACAGATATTTAGCCTGTTTTGTTTTAAATGGTACAGTATATTTTTTTTTCAAAACAAAAAATTGCATCTAAAAAAATTAGAAAAATTCCGGAATTCTGAACCAAAAAGATCCTGGAATACACAAAAATTGAGAAAAAGAAAACATACTTAATTCTACTCCCAAGCTTGATCTTCTTCTTGAGGTGTGCCACGTGAAATAGTTCTTCAGCCATGTGCTCCATGTCCATCATTTTGAGGACATCCTTTCTGAAGGACCCACGTCACAAACAATATGCGTCATGTTGCTTCGGTTAGCATTGTCAAAGAAGTCAGTGATGTATGTTTTTCCATTCTCTGGATTATTGTTTGTGATCAAGGAATTTCCCGTCTGAGTCTTTCATTAGGTGGGCATGTTTTGTTTTTTTGATTCCAGCAGTGTTTTTGTGCTTTTTATGGAGATTGAAGCTGTTAGATTATTTTCTGGAGATCTATCCCTCTACAGGAAACTTTGATCAAAAAATCTTTTTTAATTTTCCTTTTCATGGTTTCGTTGAACTTACTGTATTCGTTAAATGTCTTTATTTTTATGTTTCCCATGTGATTCCATTAGATCCAGGATTTTCTGTGTAATTCGTTTTTTTTTTTTTGGTCTCTTGGTTATTTTCAAGAGATCATTTTTGCTTGTTCCATGATCGTTCTTTGTTTCTCGTGCCAGTATTCATTGTTTATTGTTGGAATATCCGTTCACGTGTCCATTTAAATTTAACTTTAATTTTGTAGCAGAGTAAGCTTGATGTCCAAATTTTGTATACCCCTAAAATTAATTAACTTTGCAAAACATTTAAAACTTTAGAAAGTATGACTCAATATCTGATGATTTCTTTTTTTTTTCAGGCAAAGACCACCAAGAAAATCGTACTGAGAATGGAATGCGCCGAGTGCAAGTACAGGAAGCAAATCCCCCTGAAAAGGTGCAAGCACTTCGAACTGGGAGGTGACAAGAAACGTAAAGGACAAATGATTCAGTTCTAGATCCTTTTTTTTTAAGTTACATAATTAAAATTTAAACAAAAAAAAAATTTTGTTGATTGGTTTTATTTTCCCCTTATCTGTTCGCCTAAGAAAAAAACAGACAGATATGCATAGATGAACATCATTAAAACATTGTGATTTATAGGAATTTTCAAGAAATCTTAAATTCTAAGCTTATTACGATGAGAAGCTTTTTGGAAATAATTCAAAAACACTTATCTCATTTTTTTGATAATTCAGGAGTTAAATCTGTAGAACTAGTTCAGAGTCGATCTGGAACCGATTCTAATTGAACCCAGAACAAAGAACCTAGTTCTCGCGGTTTTACTTTAGAGCCGTTTTACACGGCAAAGTTTCTTCACGAAATTACCTACGAAATTGTTGCCCAAATATTTCGTAAGTTTATTCTTGGTTTCGCTTTTTCCTGTTTGACACGGCAAATTAAATGTAGCAAAAGTTTCGTGAAAATATTAGTCATACGCAGGCGCAGTTACGTTTTGCTAACAATAATAGGCCTGTTCGCACAGAAATCACCAACTAGTCAGAGCGAATTTCATTGGTTGAAACTAGTTTTCTGACTGTTTCCAACCAATGAAATTCGCTCTGACTGGTTTGTGATTGCTGTGCGAACAGGCCGCATATCATATTTTGGTAAACCAAAACAAAACAAATAAAACTCTCGTTTTCTATTGTTAAATCTTTGTACTCTTCTGCAGTTTTAATATACTCACGCATTTTCTCGGCCGCGCCCACAAAAACTATAGAACATTTTCGAAAGTTTATTGGCGAAATATTTCGTAAGTTTTTCTTGTCGTGTAAAGCCTAGTACTCATAACTGCGAAATTCGCATTTTTTTGACATTGCGTTGACAATTTGACGTTTTAGGCGTGTATCAAACGTCAAATTGTCGAAGCAATGTCAAAAAATGCGAATTTCGGAGTTATGAGTACTAAGCTTAAAGCCTAGTACTCATAACTGCGAAATTCGCATTTTTTTGACATTGCGTTGACAATTTGACGTTTTATGCGTGTATCAAACGTCAAGTTGTCGAAGCAATGTCAAAAAAATCCGAATTTCGCAGTTATGAGTACTAGGCTTAAAGCCTTGTACTCATAACTGCGAAATTCGCATTTTTTTGACATTGCGTTGACAATTTGACGTTTTATGCGTGTATCAAACGTCAAGTTGTCAAAGCAATGTCAAATAAATCCGAATTTCGCAGTTATGAGTACTAGGCTTAAAACAGGAAAAGTTGACTTACGAAATATTTCGGCAACAATTTCGTGAGTAATTTCGTAAAGAAACTTTGCCGTGTGAAACGGCTCTTAGAGCCAAAACTGGCTCGGAGTGCATGGAGTGAGCATACCTAGTCAAGCCCCATTCTATCGTTTGACCTTAAATTTAGGAGATTAAAATATATTAAAGCATAAACTGGTAACACTGCCTACAACGGCCAATGAGCATTTTTCTGTAAATCTGTAGTAGAGGAGGTTTCCATTCTGTTTGGAGGATACTTGAATACAATTCTGCTCATTTGAGAGTAGGTGCTCGGAGCAGATTTAAATGAAAACCTCCTGTAAAAGTCATTATATGTTTTGACATTTAAAAATGGTAACGTCAATTTCAATTGTCAACACAAACATCACATCATTCCAAATTTTGGTTTATGTGTGTTTTGTGCTGCTCGTGTTTTGTGTGTATTTTAATTTTAGAAAAATGCCCAAATAATTGATAATTTCGTAAGTAAACCATTAAATTATCGTTTCGTGAACCGATAAATTCAATTATTCAATTAAATTTTACTGCACTTTTTCCATAAAGTCCAACTCAAGGTGGAGCCGCCATTCGGCCATGGCGTCCTTCACTCACACAAAAAGGGAACCTTTTTAATTGTTTCAGTTTTATTGTAAATTTTTAATGTTGTTTAGTTATGGGTGATAGTCGTTTCGCAGATACGTCACCGTTGCCGCAGTTACCGGCCACCGAAATACACCTAAACAAAGATTTTATTAGTTCGGAGAAGTGGACGGGTTTTTATTCCGGTCCAATGTATAATAATGTAAGTTTATATTTTGTTGTAAGTACTTAAGTTTTATGAAAATTATTTTGCCTTATTTTCAGTCGACGCCTCAATATCCCCCTCCTGGATACGATAATACCTATCAGTATCAATATGGGACCAATTACGGATATCCGGGATATGGATATCAGGTAATAATAATTATTATTGATTTAATTTGGTGTTGTTTTGCTTTGTATTTGAGTGAAATAGCAAAAAAATTGTACTCAAGCCTTAACTCTAGATTTGTCTTGAAAATTGAGTAGGTGAAATCATCATGTAATGCAAATTTTATCTGTAAATATTTTCTTATATCCTGTATGTGATCCTTGGAAATAAACATCTATCTATCTATCTATCTATCTTTAAAATGTTCGAAAACAATCAAACTGTGTGTTCCTACAATAAAGCAATTTTGATTTGATTTCATTGATCACAATCTTGAAACTTGAAAAAGAGTGAAATCATGAGGTCCCTATATGGAAATTTTCAATTTTTCTAATGAAAAACCACCAGATAAAACATTCTTGAAAATCAACTCTTAGGTATACAGTGTGTCCGAAATTCGAGTCTCTATATGGAGATCTCGCTTATTATGGGACCATACAGGGTGGCTCAAATTAGGAAAGTTTTAGGGAATTTATTGCTCATTTATATCCTGTTGTTAAATTTGCTTCAAAGTTTTCTGTTTCCTAGAAATCCGAGAAAAACTGAAAATAGCCAATTTTGTTTTTTGTCAATAGTTGATAAATCGTTAATTTAGAGTTCTCTCACTTTAACATTATTCAGACACTTTTGAGACAGATATTTTCATGATTTGAAAACATTTCGATCGTCGTTTGTTTTCAAGTTATTACCCAAACTTTTCTTATTTCTTATGGCGGCCATCTTAGATTTCAACAAAATAATATTCTGCAAAAAAAAATCCTTTAAAATGATGTATTACAAGCTATGAAAAAGTTTTGCAAGTCCTTCAAAATACAGTTGGAACCGATTTTTTTGCTAAATTTGGCAACACTGCTCATAATTATAAGAATAAAAGCAAATAAGTAATAAGTAAAGTCTGTTTTTTTTTTCAAAGATAAAAGTCAAAATGACATTATGTTGGCAATACAATGTAAAATTGTCAATGCTTTCAATTTTTTTTATGTAGAAAAGGCTTGTGTTGCCAACATAGTTACTAAATTTTTGACTTGGGGAATTATCTTTAAAAAAAAAAACAGATTTTATGATTTAATATTAGGATCGGTATTTTTGAAGTCTTCTGGCAATTTTACTGAAAGAAAAAAAAAGTAAGGGGGAATGAAGTAAGGGATAGTGGAGTGAAAAAAAAAAAGCAAACATAATAATTATGTAAATTTAATATTAAAATCGGTGTGTATGTAAAATAAATCTTTCAGCAAAAATCCTGTTTACATTACAAAAAAAAAACATGTGGAATACCTTATCTACTTCTTTTTTCTTTATCCAGTAAAATTACCAGAAGACTTCAAAAATACCGATTCTAGGTATTAAATCATACTTATTTGGTTATATTCTTATAACTATGAGCATTGTTGCCAAATTTAGCAAAATATCGATTCCAACTGTGATTTTCAAGGACTTGCAAAACGTTTTCATAGCTTGTAATACATTATTTTAAAGGATTTTTTTCGCAGAATATTATTTTGTTGAAATCGAAGATGGCCGCCATAAGAAATAAGAAAAGTTTGGTTAATAACTCGAAAACAAACGACGATCGGAATGTTTTCAAAGCACGAAAATATCTGTCTCAAAAAAGTGTCTAAATAATGTTAAAGTGAGAAAAGTATAAAGTTAATGATTTATGAATTATTGACAAAAAACAAAATTGGCTATTTCCAGTTTTTCTCGGATTTCTAGGAAACAGAAAACTTTGAAGCAAATTTAACAACAGGATATAAATAAGCAATAAATTCCCTAAAAGTTTCCTAATTTGAGCCACCCTGTATCTCTCATAATAAGCGAAATCCCCATGTAGAGACTCGAATTTCGGACACACTGTATAAACAATCAAAAAAAGTGCATCCTCTTAAATTCGAAACAATCCTCTTTAGGTCATGGTTCTTGAATTTGAAGCTGGAAAAGAATACTGAGCAAAACACTCTAGATAGTGAAATTATTAACAATTTTGTTAACAACATAATGCAAATTTTGGTCATGAATTCAAATTAAAACGGGAGAACTCCTACAGTAGCACAGAAACAATAAATTTCCAAAATTTTGGATCATGAAATGCTAGGATAAAGGATATAAAAAATATTTCCTATAATTTCCTAAATAATTTATGGAATTTCCTGGATAATCTTCTGAATTATAATAATAATTTATTCAATATTTCAGCATACATAACAACAGTACAATTCACAGTAATATTTCTATAATCTAATAATTTTTTATTATGGCACCTAGGCATGAGAATGCCTGCATGTGCCACGTTTAATGGTAGGTATAAGTAGTTGATAATGATAATGAATGAGGTATCATGTATAAAATTTTGGCCTAGCAGTACCCTAATTCATTAGAGATAAGGGCAGGTTTAAACAGTTTAAAGATTTTGTAGACTGTAGGTGAAACATCTTATAGTTATCCCTAAATACACTGATTTTGAAAACTTTTGTAATTCTTAAATATATATTCTTTACAACTTTTTTTGAATTCTTTAAGACTAGGTATATCCTTAATTTTCAATGGCAATAGGTTGTAGAATTTTGAAGCACAGTTTTGTAGAAACTTAAGACTCAATGTCTTTTGGCTCTTTTGTATAGTTACGTTTTTATTCGTTTTATTACGTGTATTATGCTTATGAGCTATAAGTAATTTTGATTTATTATTTTTGTACATGTAAACGCAAGTTGACAAAATATACAGTTGCTGAATATTAAAAATATTTTCGTTATATAATTGTTTTGTGGGGTAGAGTTTATTTTTGTTGAAGATAACTTTCAATACATAATTTTGAACAACTTG